CCGGGGGCGGCCCGGCCCGGGGGTGAAAGGGAAAAGTGGGGGGGGGGGGGGGAGGGGGGAGGTTGTGAGGTGGTACAGTGCCTTCATTTGATCCTTCATTTGATGAGGGTTCATTTGTCATGTGATCAGCCACTTTAAAAGCACGCTGCAGCTGTGTACAACTGTACAGCACTTTCAGGGGGCTGATTGCATGACAAACATGACTTCTGTCTACACCCAGTTTTTCAGGAATACACCAGATCTCAGATTCACAGAGGCAGAAACTGTTGTTTAGACACCTCCTGTCTACATGTCACTCAGTAGATTCTCCTTTTTCTCTCACAGGGTGATTGCACCAGGAGCCATGACACCACTAACTAGGTTTCCCAGAGCCTATTCATCACCTGGATACTCATACAGAGATGGCACAATTCTGAGATGGACCAAGTGTGCTAGAGATTAAGTATAATTGTCTCCATTTTACTGATGAACTGTAGGTATAAAGAGTTTAAGTGGCTTGCCCAACATTTCACAGTTAGGAATTGATCCCCTGAATTGCAATCTGGTGTCTTAAAACCACACTTGTTTTCTTTTCTCTCAATCAGGGACGTATCCTTTGCTTCAGCCACTCCTACATGCACCCATAAAATTCTTGCTGTGCACTTGTATTGGGGAATTCCTGGGTTCTCTATGAGAAGGCTGATTGTGAGGTGAGCACAGCAGTCTTCTGTGCCAGTGCAGGTGGGTAAGATCTGCTCATAGAAGTTGTGCCTCTATTTATCGGATGTTTTCCTATATCCAGTCAGATGATACATCTGAGCTATCACTATTGATATGTCACTAGCAAAAATGAAATACTTGCTGAAGCCATTTGACATGCTTTTTTGTTTAAATTGGTAAAATAGCCATACGCATGAGAAAGAAAGGGGAAAATAAAAGAAATCCCCTCCCCAATGAAATTTTGACCCGACCTTGATTATTTATCCCGTTGTACTTTATAAACTGTTTATAGTATGGAGATCATTTTGTGCTGATTTAGTTGTTTTTAGATTGTACTATTATAGGCAAGTTTAAAAACTGCTGCATCACACCTAGTTCATTAGACGTGATCTTCATGTGACACCAGCATAATGCAGGGATATCACTGAAAGTAGTGGTATGCTCTCATTTAACAATCTAAATGAGATCAGACCTTTGTCTCAAGTAAGGGTTTAAGTTTGATTTTAATAAGGGAGGTCATGTATAACTAAACACCCATTTACTGCCAAATTTATTTGTTAAATGTTGGATGTTAAACAACTATTAATTTTGTTGTCTTTACTAGAATAATGCAATCTCTATCACATGGAATAGCATCAGATGTTATGGAGCATGTTTTAAATAATGAATTGGCATTTGCTTAATTTACAGTCTTATCTTGCTGAAATCTAAAATAAATGTATATTTAACCAAAGAGCAAGCAAAGAGAGATGGAACTTTATATTTTTCCAGGCAAAATTACTGAAGAAATATACATGGCTGAACCAGAGACCTAGGGATTTTACTAGGTAGTTCATTATACCTTCTCTCATATAAAAGCAGGAGGACTATTCTGGTAGATTATGTTGCTACTTATTAACAATGAAGATGGGGCACAGATTAAAATCAAGATTGCACACTGCATGCCAGCAGTTTTGTCCAGAAGGGGAGAATTGTTTTCAAAAAAGGATGGAGGTGAAAAGGTGAGTCTTTGCATAATTAATTGAAAAAGGGGTGAATGGCTAATGCTTGCAAATGAAATATAATTTGATATAAAACAAGCTTTAAGACCAAAATCTTAATTAATAATTATAAAGTAATATAATGACTGTACTTGACAGATGAAAATAATGTAAAGCTGAGGTTATGGATTGCTATTTCAGTTGTCAAAATGTGTATTCAAAGCTCATGGCAAGTGCTGAAATGACAATTACTGGACACTAAAGTACTGTGATTCAGAACAGGCATCAGCTTCTGAGGTTTTTCCTCTCTGCCCACACAATGCACTTCAAGAACAAGAATGAAGCAAAAGGTAAAAGCAAAGATAGTCATAGTGGGTATGTGCAGACATTATACTTTGACCTAACTAGGATTAAGTCAATCAAAGGGCTGAAATGTACATACATTAAGGGAGTTTAGACCAGGCAACAAATGGCTGGCCCAACTTAACTTAGTTCCCCCAAGGAGATGTACTAAGTAGATTGGGCTAACCCATGCCCCATCTAACTAAACATGTTCACATGTTCGGAGTGCGGCTCTGGGGCTGGGGAAGCCTAGCTGCTCTGCCCAGTTCTAGGTTTGCACTTTTTCTACCTTCCCCACCCTGACTGGGCTATTTTAGCCCTTCTGAATCCCCATCCACAGATCTGCTAGCCCCTCCAGTCTCATCAGCCCCCCACCCTGACAGCCACCAAACACCGCTGCAGATCCACTAGTCTCCTCATCTCCCTCCACAATTTATTTACTTATATTGTATTCCAGATGTGGCTCCCAGCTCTGGAAAATGTGCAAAAGCAGGACCTGGTTTGGCTTAAAGTAAGTCATGTGATCATATGTTGTGTCCTAGGAACAGCACACACCCTCTCAATTAGTATTCAGTCCTTGGTTTTCCTGCTGATTGCAAACCATAATGCCATCTCTGATGTGAATGTGCATTCACTAGGAATGAACTGATTCATCAGATCACTTTACAAGTCACCATCACCAAAAGAATATCCTGTTAATTTCCTTTATTTACTGTAGTTTTGGTCTAGGATGTAAGAGTGACCATTTTGTTTTGAATTCCTTTGAGGGCTCCAAACCCTTTAGCCAGTTTTTGTTTTAAAATGATCAGGCACTTGTAGCCTCACCCTACATAGAGTGAGGCCTAGAAAACCAAGGTAGGTGTTGTAAGGAAGCTTATGTTATATTATTGTTAAAGACAAATTATTAAAACAAAAACTCACCTTCCATCTATCTTAAACCTGCAACTGGTACATCCATGAAAGCAGCAAACCCATGTCTGTTACTACAGTTCTGCAGAAAATATAGTTATAATAACAAAGATCCTGGTTTTCTGTTTAAAAATCACAGATTCTCTGATAAAAATTGCAAATTCTCTTATTAAAACCCCCCAAATCTGCATTTTCTCCTCCTTGCTGCCCTCCGCCTGATGCCTCCACAGCCCAGTGAGCAGGACCCAATGTCGAAGGGCAGAAGGGCAAAGCAAGGTGGTGAGGCTTGGTGTTGCTGCTGGGAGCCCTGCATCACCTTGGCAAGGCACCTGCTGCCAACCCCACTGCTGATGAGGCAGCATGAGGCTCCCCACCCAGCCCCACTATGCCCTGCCACTCTGGGTCCCATCCACTTGGCTATGGAGGCCCCAGTTGGAGGGCAGTAAGGTGGGGAGCCCCGAGCCCTCAGTGGACAGCCTACCCCTTTCCCACGTACAAATCTGGTGGGCACATGCCTCCCATGCCTTCTCCAGGAATGTGTGCAAGGGCAGGGAGTGAAGCCATCCGCCCCCCACCGCCTCCTGGATGAGCTGCCCATAGCTCCATCCCACTCCCTGCCCAGGCCCCAAGCCCCAAGCCCCACGTATCATCCCGGCTGGGCAGCAGCCCTAGCCCCAGTCCCAGCCTTGCCCAGCACCCTCCCTCACTACGGGAGCATCAATCCCACCCCCGATTTAACGGAGGGGAGCTGAGGGAGCTTCTCTCCAGGCTGTGTGGCTGCCATGCACATGTATGAGTATGCATGTGGTGCCCCCTGCCTAACCACTCTCCTTCCACTCCCTGCAGCCCCTTTCAGGCTGGAACTCTGCAAGCCTGGAAGGGGAAACCTGCCTTTCTCCATGTTTTTCTCCTTAAAAAGAAAAAAATCCTGGTTTTTCTCCTTAAAAAGAGAAAAACTGGGTTTTTCTCTTTAAAATGAGAAAATCTGGGTGTTATGACATTTTTACATGGTCAATGGAAACCCAGATCAGTGGTTATAAAGCAGCATCCTATTGGGTTAAGTGTATTTCTTATGTAACCCCAGTGAAATTAATTGTTATTGGGAACATACATTTGACCTACTGTGCCTACAAATGGTGATTCACTGGATTGGCCATACCTTTTGAGTTTAGACTATGAATGAAAGAGCTACTAATGTGCAAGAAACAGGCATCTTGTTACATCATCTATTTCATTAAAAGTGTAGGAGGCTACCTTGGAGATGACCTTCATTTCTTATTATTTACGCTTTGCTCCATGGCAACATTCTTCTTGCTGAGTTGTTTATTGTGAGAAAAGGCCCAAACATAAACAAGATGCCCTTATAGTGGAGCAGCAATGTTTTCAGTCTCTTATCTTCCTCTACTCCCATTGGGTTTTGTGATTTTTAATCTGACAGTAATTGCTATTTTTTAAAAAACAAAAGAGTAGTAGACTCTTGTACTACTCAATTTACAGATAGTTTTTTTATAAAAAATAATCTTTAAATTCTGGCCTCCAGTCTCAGGGAGGAAGCACAAATCTAGCTTTTTCTTCTGAATATGCATGAAGGGACAGCTGAAAGTAGTCTATTTTAAAAAAGAAAAGAGGAAAATAAAAATATTTTGATTTCCCCAAATGAGCCAAACTGAAGGTTTACAATGCTTTGGCTAACTACTTTTGTGTTACTGTTGTAATTCAGACTTCTAGGGCCAATTCCATTTGGTTCCATTTCATTGGGTATAAATGATTTGCATATCTCTAGATACATGATAGATCACATTTTCTTTCCTAAGCATCTTACAGTCACAACGCAGACAAAGGGCTAAAAGAGCAAGCCCCAGATAATGGAGGATGAATGGTAGAAAGGTTTAAAGAAGTAAGTAGTTACTGTGATTGGTCAGATATCTTAGCCGTTATGATAGCATTTTCTGGTGTTCCAGGATCAAGTTGGGTACAAAACTGGTGCTACAAGTGTGAAGGTCTAAGAGAACAGGAGAACTGAAGAAAAGAAACTGAGTGGTGGCATTGAGAGTAAATTTTCAGATTGGAACCGTACTTAAATAAGTAGCTTGGTGCAAAGAAGTTTAAGCCAGGATATTATCACTTTGAATACAGAATTTGTTATATTTAACAGATAGATCATATCCAAATAATGATCAGTTATCTAATACTGTTCAAATTACCATCAGATCCATGACTGTGCCTTGCTTTAGAAGGTCCTCTTTGGTTATGCCTTTTCTAGGCTTCATATGTATATATATTTAAACACACACACAGAGTATCTTGAATAAACATTTTTGATCCAATCTGGTACCTTTGTATTACAAAAAATATCCATTAATATTATAACCATTTTTATGTTTTATACAATGGGAGGAGAATGGGAGGAGACCATATCTTCACAAATATTTTGTACAGTGAGATTCAAGATGGCTCGAGAAAGCACAGTTGTCCTCTCTGGTTATACCACAGTGGCTGCAAAAATTACATGAAGCCATTCAACATCAGTGTAGAAAGCTGCTACAAGTACATAGAATCCTGCCCCATCTGGAATGAACATCCTGCCCTGGGTGCAGCTCAACATGAATCATCTTTGATCCAGATGATAGAAGCAAAGTGAGAAAGAAGGAAGTAGTATGCTTAACTTAGACTCCAATTCAGACAACACATGAATCTGTAATAAACTGTGTCACTCTTGAATTGGGCTTGTCAGCCACAAGCAGATTTGCCAGCTGCCTGACTAGACCTCTTATACATGCACCATGATCCAGAGGATCTACAGTTGCCTACTCTTATTTTTCATAACATTTCTAGAAATAGTTTGATGATCTCGTACTCTATAGACTGCTACATCTCTTATACAGTTTGAGTAACATTCTCCTGCTTTTCTCTATTTTGAGCAAGATTTACATCATCCTTAAGGCTCCAAAAAGCAACTCTCATTTCATGCAAGCCTAAAGTTCAGCCACTTCTTTTGCTACGAACTTCCAACCATTGCAGGAATTTTGTTTAGCTTAGCACAACTACCTATTTAAAACTTCTAGAGTTACTAACACATTTTGCCTATAGAAGCATCCATGCAACACATTTTTGAGAATATTTTAGTTCACGTGACCCTTAAGCACTTGTTTTCCATTACCAGGAACCAATATCAGGAGAATTACTGCAGTGCAGAAGATGACCCTCTGGTAGCAAGAATCCGGGAAGAATGTAACTAACATAGATTGTGCGTGTTATCAGAAACATACTAGCAGTATATTAATAGTACACCATATCACACACCTTCACCTGTTTTAAGTGAGCACAGGGTTGAAAACTATTTTCTCTTGGGAAATCCCTTTTAAATTTCAACCGTTTGGTGCAATCAGTCCATTCCAAAGGCAAACTATATGCTTCTTTTTAGAAGCACTTTTATATGTCTCAGGGATGCAAGTCATTTCTAGCTGAGATGATTTAGCAGTGTCCGAAGGAGCTTGATTCCATCTGAGGCAGAGAAATCATCTTGGCCTTCCCTTCAGTTTGATAGATGAATTTTAATAAGGAGCCCTTGGGAGCTTCCCAAGTTCTCCCTTCAGCACATCAATTACATTAAGTGTCTGATCCTGCCTAATGTGGTAGGAGTGGTGCTTTTTTCATGTAGGTTTTCCTGTTGAAGTAACTCTCTGTGTGGGGCACTTCGCACCATGCAGCATCAGGCCTTTTATTAGCGCTAGATTAGTCATGTGAAATATAAATAAAGTTTTAATTTGCTACTAAAGCTGATGCTAGTTCTACCAAAGGGCTTGTGCTTTTCTTTTTTTAAGATGGTAAGTGGCAGAGCTTTATCTGATTTTGCACATTAAAGCCCCCATTTGCAATTTCATTGTCTGACCAGGAAAATTCAGGCTCTTTCAATCTATCTACCCACTTCTTACAATCTTCATCTGAAGTGCTCTGCTGTGAGACTCATTAATATGAAACTGATTAACAAATAATATGGTACAAATGGAGGGCTACATTGCTGAGCAAATAAGAACTGGTTGCTGCTGCTTCCCAAATGCCTGAATCGTAGTTAGTATGACTCATACAAACAGAGCTTTTCATTATTATTTTAACATTGTTCATCTTTTAGCATTAAAGGGTATTTGCTCTAAATTCAGATATGGATTCAGTGTAGTAAAATGCTGTTGTTTTATTTTGCATAGAAAGAAAATGGAACATTTTTGCCTGTAGTTTGTGTGAGTACAAAATAAATATTCAGTATTTTTACTGAAGTCTTCTGTTTTCATGGTTAGCGTGACATTGTTAACTATAAAATATGTATGTGGATTTTCAGATGTGTAAAATGAATGCATTATTTGCATAAAAGTTCCATGTGAAAACCTCAGTCCTAGTCAGGGGCGGTATTGTGCTAGGCTCTGTACAAAACTACTGCCATGTCCCTGCCCCAAAGAGCTTGCTTATTTTTAAGCAAGACAGGGATGGAGTGTAGCAAGGCATACAGTTACATACACTAACTGGGTGTGCCATCTGATTCTTTACAGGCACTGGAAAAGTTTAGAAGTGAACATTGGTTATCTCAGACTGGCCCTTAACCTAGCTCTCATTTGTCAGTTCATGTCCTGCGGAAGCAGAAAGAGATGTTGGATTGGATATTTCATGTGTAAGGAATGGAATGAATGAAAGCCAGCTGATCTTTATGGGAGAAATGGACTAAATGGCATCACTAATGGATTTAGGAGAATGAGGACAGCTGGAATGGATTAGTGAAGAGGGTCAGAGTCAGTAAGGTATTTCAAGGCGTGAACAAGAATTCAATATGCAATCCATTTGGAGTCGATAAGAACAATGTGGATGTTAGCATGTAGCAAACCCCCTCAGGTTTTTCTTTTTTTTTAAACTTAAAAATGCATTCCCTCTCCATCCCCAACCTTTTCTGACTTTCTCTCTGCCCTTTCTATCCCATATAAATGATTACAAATAATACTAGGTAAGCTAAGATAAGTTCTTACAGTCCCTCACAGTAACAAGCCCCTTTTATACAGTAGTGTTTTATTATCTTTGTACTGATTTTTACTGTTTTATATTGCATTATATTATGATTTAGGTCTATGTCTGTAATGTCAAATAATGTAAAGTTTCCATTCTGTATGTCAAGCCTTGATCTTGTGTCCTTTGCCCAGGTGTAACCTATGTTGTAACTGTGACTCAAGTCTAACCAGTCTCATGTAAATTGGTTCCTGAATGAATGGAAATGAATGAGGGTGCTTGAGGTACAATGGTAGCAGGCCTCTACTGAATGATCAACTACCGGACCATTGCCTTGCATTGACTCACCCAGGAAACACGGACCTCACCCAGGAACAGAACAGAAACCCAGCATTTGAAAGACAAAGGCTGCTGCAAAAACCAGACAACCCACCATTGCAACATAGACTCCTGGAACTACATGTCCTTGCCTGGAGTGTACATGCTCAGTGCACCAGGGTGGACCCTTGCCTGAGCATGCCCCAGCCACTAGGATCATAGAAGGTCTGCCCTTCTATGAGAAGGGTAGTGAAGACAGACCCAGTGGGACTGCCTCTCCATCTGGACCAGCACTACACCATGCCACCCAGAGACTCTGCCGGCGACCCTCTCTGGACAACACCTTGCTGGAGAAGACCCCTACTGGCCACCGAGAATCAACTCACATCCCAGGATAGGTAGCTATCACCCACCTTTCTTCCCTAAGCAAAGGATCTGGACTTTGTCCCTACACACTTTAACTTCAATCCCTCCACCAAGAATTTTTCTCTCCTGCTACCATTGTGTGGGTGCGTGTGTGAGTGCTTGTGTGTGTGTGTGCGTGCGCGCACGTGTGTGGGAACCAATAATTTTGTGGTCTGTATAGTGCATTGCTTGTTTAATAAAACTGTTAATTTGGAAGTCCAAGTTGGGTTTTGTCTTACTGACCTCCTAGCCCTGCTCCAGTCTCTGCTTTCTGCCCCTCTGATCTTCCTCCTGTGTCTCTCTCTCTCTCCAATGAACCTTAAGTTACCCCAGCTCCAGTATGCCAGTCCTAATCCCGGCCCCGGCAACTTTCACTCCTGACACTTCTACTCTCTTATTTTTCCCTCTCTCATCTTAACCCCCACCCATCTCCCTCCTTCTGGAAATCTTTGACCCTTGACTACCACTCCCATAGTCACCAAGCATGCTAATTTGTTGATAGAAGAGCATTCTGTTGCTTGCATTTATTGACAGCAGCTTTCAAATTAATCTAGAAATGTTGCCACAGGTTATTCCTTGACTCTTCTTTCTCTACTTATTCTCCTCTTGTAAATATAGGTCTGGTCATGCCACTGCTTTCATCAGTCTTTTTCCTTGGCTATATTTCTGTATTCTCAATTTTGATCAGCTCTACAGTACCTTATTGAAGAACAGAACTGTTAAGTGCAAATCCTATAGGACTATTTGTCCTAAGGCAGAGGTGTCTAAGGGCATCTATACACATTCTCCAAGGTGGAGGTTGGACTGCTTTAATTAGAGTGGCTCTGAGAGCTGCTCTAATTGAAGTGCCTGCAGCGTCACATGTATTAAGCATCCCATGCTTCAAAATGGTGGCAGGGGCACTTAACTAAGGTGCATGCAATGAGCTTTAGTTAAAGTGCCCCTGCTGCCATTTTGAATGTGGGGGTACTGAATACATGTGACACACAGGCTGCTGGAGTGTGTTAATTAGCACACTCCAGCAGGCTTGTAGTGATGACTGCAAATTAGCATGTGTGAGAGCAGAGGTTGCTCATGTGTATAGATGCCCTAAAATACAGTCTTGGTTTGGATCTGGCCCATATAGCCACATCATCTGGCTTCCAGGTGTGGCCCTACACAGGGCCAGTCCAGGATGCCCCACTGCATGCTGGATCTAGCACCCAGAGTGCCTGCTCTAGCTGATCCAGGGTACATGCTGTATACAGCACAGGTTCTAGAGCAGACACCATATGCAGCGCAGTGCCAGCCTGACCAGAGTGGGCACTGGATACAGCATACAGGTTTCCCTCAATTTATGTGGGTTCTGTATATGTGAATTTGCTCTTATGCAGTGACCCTTTCTATACCCAAAATCTATTATATGTGAGGTAAATTTACTCTTATGCAATCAGCATAGCTGCCCCTCCCCCAAACAGGTAAGTCTGTGGGGGGATGGGAAAGGGATGTGGGGCTGGGGCCCCACTCCCCCCAGCCCCTGCTGCAGCTACTTTGGGAGCAGCCAACACCAGCGGCCTGCAGCCACTGGGCTGGACCAGGCCCTGAACACCTTCCCTCCCCCGCCAGGGGCTCCGCTTCTCCCCACTCACCCCAGTTCCTGGGCTGCACAGTGCAGTGGTGTAGGCAGGAGGTGTTTGCCATTCCTGGGTCTGCTGCAGCAGGAGCTGGGGTAAGTGGAGACAAGTGGAGCCCCAGGGGGGTTGGGGCACACTTAAGCCCAGCAGCAGCAGGCAGCTGATATTAGCCAGTCCTAGGGCCACTGCAGCAGGGGCTGGGGTGAGTGGGGAGAAGCAAAGGCCCGGGGCTGTAGCACGGAGCAAAGTGGAGGAAACTGTCAGTGGGTGTGGGGCAGAGGTTGGGAGGCCATGGCTCTTGCTGCTATGTGCACCCTGGGAGTGCAGCGGCCTTGGGGGCTGCACCGGGCTCTTCCTGGGGTGCACATGCCCCCAGATCTGCATGCAGAATGAGAGTAGGCTGCCTCTGCAGGCTGGGGCCAGTGGCAGCACTGGGCTCTTCCCAGTGCTCAGTGGTGGTGCTGAAAGGGCAGGTTGGGGATGTTTATGGTGAATTTTGGGGTGGCAGCAGCCCCCCTCCCAGTGCCACCATCCACTCTGAGTGCCAGGAAGAGCCCAGTGCCACTGCTGGCTTCAGCCTGCAGCAGCATCCTGCTCTTGTCCCACACGCAGATCTGGGGGCACCCCATCCCCCCGAGAAGAGCCTGGTGCAGCCCCAGATCCTGCAGCCCTCCTAGGGTATGCATAGCAGCAAGAGCCACATCCCCATGCCCCAGACCCACTTACAGTTTTCTCCACTTTGCTCCCTGTTGCAGCTCTGGGAGTGGTCAATGGGATGCACCACACTCCTACCCCCACCCCTTCCCTAGTCCCAGCCTTACTCCCTCCCTCCCTGCCATGGGAACATATTCCTATCTCTTACATTGTAAACTGGGTTCCCTTTATGCAAATTCGATTTATGCACAGTTTTCCGGGAATGCATATACCGCATAAATCGAGGGAAACCTGTACTGTGGCAGAAAGGGGTTCTGTGGGTCCCCCACATGCTGGATCCATTCTGGCTGGTCTGGGACTGTGCTGCACATGGAACCCATTCCACCTGATCAGATCCTGCACTACACATGGTTTCCAGCCCATAGCTCAGGAGCAGAAATTATGTACTACTTATATTCTGATCTGGCCAGAGCAGGTGCCATGTGTGATGCAGTCTTGGACCATCTGGAGCAAGCATCACAGGTGCTTAATCCAGTATGCAGGAAGGTAGTGGTGGTGGTGGTGGGGGGTGTCTGTGGACCCATTCCAGTCCATGAGGCTGGCTCCACATCATTCATTTGGCGCATGGACTAATCCTGGTCCACTCATCTTATCTGCAGGGCCTCTTGTAAGGTATTACAGGGATTCTAAATGGAAAAGTGGAAAGGCCTTATATAGTCTTGATTCTTGTTTTTGGAACATTTTATTAGTTCATACACATTAAGACTAAGAAACATTATTTAAAATTCCCTTCTGTAGGTAGATTTCTCTTTAGGCTCTACTTGTATAACACCTTGGATTATCTGCTATGCATACTATGTACTGAAAGGAAAATTTATCCCTGCAATTCTAAAGCCAATAAAGGACCAGGATATTGCAGCTCACTTAATTAATGCTACGTTTTACAGTCTATTTTAAGCTGCCTTGCTTCATTCTGAACCATTTCATCTGTTTCCAGAAATGCAAGTTAATCATATCTGATTGCTTGTTGTAATCTCTAATTAACTGGGGTGCAAACCATTTAGCAATATTTGCCAGGTGCTATGTCCTTTAAAAAGAGCTGCTTGGTGAACACATACCTAAAGCATAATAGTTATGTAAATTTATCACCAAGAATATTTTGAATTCATGATCAACTATTTTTTATTTCTTTTTTTCCTCTGGCTAATTAACTATGTTGACTTAAACAGATGTGAAGTATGTGATTTTATTTTCTTTGCTGCCAAACTATCATTTACCATTACGCTATGTTTTATTTGAAAAGAATAAAGACTTTATATTTAAGGTCTTTATTGAAAATTGCTTTGGTGTTAAAATTGGTTAC